TCAGTTATGATTGGCGCTCATTCGAATCTGTTGCCGGTTTCCGGAACCAATATACATGGCTCCGAATTCACAAGGGATAGTATAGATCCATTGTTTTTCCTCCTGCTTGTCGATGGTTTTTAGGAGTAAGCTGGCTGCGAAGCGGTGCATGACCTCAGAAGAGTAACCGTAGACCACGTTTTGATGCCTTCCTTTTTAATCTCTCATGAACACTTATGTAATTAAGGAATGACGACTTCCCACTTTTTCACCGCTTCTATTTGATTCTGACTTTTCCTTTCCTGCGTTTTGATCGTTTTATTGATGGAATTCGCTAGAGAACCGCTCATCCTTAAACTGTTATAAATGTACCGCATCTCTTTTCGAGTACCGTATTCCTCTGCGTAATTTCCAGGCACCTGCGGGCCAGCGTGTTTGCAATACTCTTTTAACGTTACGAGGCAAGTTGAAGTTGAATTACTGGAAACGACTCGAATGGATCGATTCTCTTAGACTTCTATAATGATAATTCCCTTACTTCGGGATAGTAGAAAATCTAGATATTGTAAGACTCCGTTTTCCTCAGATTTCATCGTGAGTGAGATAGCTGTTGAGAGTAGAAGGTTTAGTTGGTTCAAGAACTGGCTTTGCGTTCTTTTCAGGCAAACGGTGAATATGACATTCACATACGTTTTGAAGAAGATAGGTTTTGTTCCTGTTATATGATGTCTCCAGAAGATGGATCGAGCTCCATGTGTTAATATGCAAGTTTTGCGCAATGTCTACAATATTGTATTTGCAGCATATTTCGTATTACACTTAACTCTTAGGGTAGATTTCGCGGGATATTACGCCAACCCTTTCTCCTCTAGTTACCTGAGAGGAACCATTCAAGCTGTCCTTGATACCATGATATTTTAGCAACTGCAGTTCTGAATGTCTCGCATCATTTTGTTTGCTATAGTAATCTTTTGCTCATCACGATGAATGTTTCGAAATCTAGTAAGTATTCTGTATATACTATTGCATTAGCATCAAAACTAAGTTTCCACTGCGCGATATGTTAATTAACGCATAACTCCTCACAAACCAAATTTCGTATTGTATTGCACCGCTTCCTTGCTCACTTTGTCTCAGTCGATTACGATTATACGTTTGACAGTATACTTATTATGCAAATATTGTGACTATCTTATACATATTATATATTAACCTTGTATAACGTGAATCTTACAAATAATGCAAACCTGATTCTTGTATGGCCTAGTCATATTTTGGTATTTTCTGTTATAATATATAGCCATTGCACAACGATACCCTACATAGTAGGTGTGCTGCGAACACACTCCATTGATTATTTCAGCTACAGTAAGTCTCACAAGCTTTATACCAAAATGCCCTGCTGTCTCTGTTAGTTGTAGGTTACCGACTTAATGCCCATTTTTCGACTGGTTGCACTGGATTGCAGTAAAGTAAATTCGCTGTTCAAGGAAATTAGCAGTTGATAATATAAGGTTTGCGCTGCGAATGAGGTTTGAACCCGGCATTTCTAAATGTAAACCGATATTACGTTCCACTGTTTCACTGTTCGCCGGCTTACGGTTCAAAAAATCTTTAATGGAAGTCCTGCAATTTGTGCATATATGGATACTGGGGATGGAGTTGGAACGAGAATTCTATCGAATGAGCTGTTTGCAGAATCACTTCCGCAGTTGGCGTCTAAAACTGAAAGTACCAAGAAGTGGTACCCAAAATATTGGAAAATGGTAGTGCATGGTTAAATATGGTACTAGTGGATATGAATTTATTAATGAATTCGCTGTACCGTGGTATGGATGGTTTGTACGATGACGTGTTGTAGTTTGTGTTACTGACTTGATTCTGTAGATGGACTTCCTTTTTTAATTCAGAAGCTAGTTCATTTGTATGGGTAATTGTCTAATTATACTCTTTTGAAACCACTTAAGAATCGGGACCATTAACCGTTAA